GACCACCAGAGCCAGCGACTTGATGTCTTCGATTAATTGACCAAGAGAAGATCGATTAACCGAAGGTTGTTGCAAGCCTTCAACAATCTGAAGCGAATCTGATTCACAAAGGATATTAGAAAACCCTTTTTTTTTTACCCCCAGATCAAACCATAAGAACATCCATTGCTTCTGATTAGAGGGGAGAAAATATCATGGAAGCTTCCACATTTGGCAGCCAATAAGCCTCCTGAATTATCCCTTATTTTCAGACCGTAGCCACCTGAACAATTGACCTGGTTTTAGCAGGCTCAATGTTGAGTTTTAGGCGACCCGAATGAGGGCATGACCACTTTGCCGAAACTTGCAAAAGGGGGTAGGGACCACTATTTCGTTGGCCAAGAGAAATGAGAGCCACCACTGAGTAGCTCGGAGCACTACGGTGTTCGAAGGACCACATTTAGAACTCCAAAGCTTTGTTTTTCTAGCGCCCCAAAGTGCCTAGCAGATCATCATAAAGGAATCAAACATTTCAGATTTTAGCATACCCGCAATGTCCATGGCCAGAGGAAAATGGGGGATAGGAGTCCCAGAGTGGGCATCCAAGGTGGGACGATAACCAAGCACATTTAGCGAAAGGACATTCCTTCAGTAAGTGAAGGATTGTATCATCATCGTGGTTGCACATCACGCATGGCAAATCAGTCGTGATATGGCGCTTGGCTAGGTTCACTTTGGTAGGGATGATGTCGTTACAAAGGTGTCACATGCTTATTTTGACCTTTGGGGGAACCTTTGCGTGCCATATCTTGGACCAAAAGGTTGATCTCCCAAGAGGGTTTGAGGATGAAGACCCCGTATTGCTTGGATAGAGCCACTCCCAAGCAAGGTGATAGGCGCTCCTTACTGAGAATCTCTCATTCTTTTCGACCTACCATGATAGTAAATCTGCTGGACTTCAAAGGCTCAGGGGGATGAACCGAATTACGTTGACCTCCGGAGCAGAGAAGAAGCCAGAAATGAGGTCGAGATTCCACACTTTAGCTATAGGGTCAATCAACTCACTAACCATATGAAGAGGTGAATTGGCTGGCTTTGGAATGAAAATTTGTGATCGACCATACAAAGGAACCCAAGGATCCTCTCAAATTCTTATTGAGGATTCACTGCCCATTTGCCACCTTGAACCTCTAAATATTATATCCCTCGCTGTACAAATACTTTTCCAGGAGTATGAAGCATCGGGCTACACCGTGGCCTCAAGGAATGATCTATTGGGGAAGTACTTTGCCTTGAGAACCCTCAAAACCAAAGAGGTATGATTCATGATGATTTTCCACCATTATTTTCGCTAGAAGGCTGAGGTTAAAAGCATACAAGTTTCGTAGGCCCAAGCCTCATTCGGATTTCGGGATGCAGAGTTTTTCCCATGAAATCCAATGAGTTTGTTTGTTTCTTTCAATGTCACCCCACCAGAAGGAAGAAATCATCCTATATAAGGCATCACATCAGTACTTTGGCAGGAGATAGCAGTTTATAGTGTAATGGGAATGGCTAGGGCAACAGACTTGATGAGAAGTTCTTTACCAACAACACTAACAATCTTTCATTTCCAGCTTTGGAGTCTCTTCCACATCCATTCTTTGATGTATGCAAATCATTGGCTTTTGTTTCTTCCCATATAAGTTGGCATGCCCAAGTACTTTAAATGCCGATCGACCATCTGAACGCCCAGCAAAGCAACCAGCTTGCCTCGGATAGGTCTTTTGATATTGTGGCTAAAACAGACCTCACTCTTCTGGAGGTTGACTTTTTTACCCGGGGTACTTTCGTAGAACAAGAAAATCTTAGTAATCTGGTGGCATTCCAATTCATTGGCACGACAAAATAGCAGACTATCATCTGCGAAAAGCAAATGGTTCATAGTAAGGTCTCCAGAACTGATTGTGATCCCCTGGATTTTACCTTCGGCCTCTCTTTGGGCGATAAGGCCCGATAACCCTTCCACACACAGAAAAAATAGGTAGGGAGAGATACGGTCCCCTTAACGGATCCCACGAGAGGGGTGGAGGTAACCTATAGGACGCTCATTCACTACAAAGGAGTACGAGACCGAGCACACTAGTTCCATGACCAGGTTTGTCCATTTTAGGGAGAACCCCATACGAGATAAGATACACTATAGATAGCCTCTTTCAATTCTATTGTAAGCCTTGCTAATGTCCAGCTTTAGGGATAAGAACCCTTTTTTACCCCTGCGACGCTTAATGAGCGAATGAGAAATCTTCGAAGCCAACAGGGAGTTTTCTGCTATCAATCTACCCAGGACGAACTCGCTCTGGGTAGGAGAAATGATATGGTTAAGGATCCATTTTAGCCGATTCGCCATTACCTTTTGACGCAATTTTAAAGACCACGTTGCAGAGACTAATATGCCTAAATTAGGACATATCCTTGGGGTATTTCACTTTGGGAATAAGGCAAATATGGGTGAAATTTATCTGCTTGAGAATTCTGCCCGACTGGAAAAGACGTTGGATGACGATTGTCATATTCGGACCAACAATGGGCCAAGAAACGCTGATAGAAGAAGAGGGAGATTCCCTCGGGCCTCGGTGCCGTGGAGGGGTGCATGCTGAAAATAGCCACCCGAACCTCTTCAGCCGACACTGGAAAGTCAAAACTGATATTAGGAGTCACTCGACGATTGGTGGTCTGGAGGACTTCTTCTCGATCCCCCGGTCGCCAAAAGGTCCTCGAAATAGCTCAGGACTGAGCTCTTAATACCTCTGTCATCGGATTGCCATGAGCCATTCCTGTCTAGTAGCCCTTTGATAAAGTTTTTTACCTTACGGTTTTTGGCCCATTGATAAAAAAAAAAAAAGGTGTTCCTGTCCCCTTTCCGCAACCAAAGAGACCGAGACCTCTGGCACCGATAGGTCTCCTTTTGGCCTAGAAGAGCATCCAGATGCTCCATTAAATGCAACATCTCTGCTAAGGATGCCTTTGATAAAGGTTAAGCGAGGATAAAGCCAAGCTTCAAGCGGATCTCATTTATCTTTTCCCTTCTACCTTGAAAGACCACCTTTAACCACTTGAGGATGGCAACTCTAGTAGCCTTGATTTTATAAACAACCTGGAACATAGGGACAAAAAACAGCTTGTCCTTGAAGATGCTGATCACCATAAAATTCTATATGTTTTCCTTGATGGTAAATTGGTAATGAAGCCAATGAACAAATATTTGTAGAAGCATATGACTTAAGACTTGGATTGATTTAATATGTAAAATAATGGTTTAGGGTTTTAGAATGAGTATTAGGAGTTTAAGGGTTGTTTGAGTTTAAGGTTTAGTAATGGTTTTTGTTTTAGGTTGGGGTGGAGTTTGTGGTTCAAGATTTAAATATTGAGTTTTGGGCTACATCAAAATTCGAGATCTAAATTCTGAGTCATAATGATTAACTTGACACCCGAACTCACTCTCTTTATATATGTGATTAATTTGACTATAACAAAATAAAAATTGCAATGCAAGGTTTAAATTCACTTATCGACAGACGGAAACTACAATGTAGTCTAACCTAGAGGTTGTGATGAATTCTAAGCTTGTATTCCACATAGCACATCCTGAGTTCAATCCCTGACGCTAGTGAATTATACGATGGTGGCTTGCCGTAACGAAACGACCAGCTGGTCTCTTTTTTTCTTAAAAAAATATAAAAAAAAGTAAGAAAATACCTGCTAGTTGTACATGTAATGGCACTAGTAATATTTGTTTGGTCTAGGTGCATTAGTGTATTTGAAAATTTTATTGACCAGTTATTTTGTTTCGATCCAATTAGTGACCACTTACTAATTCTACTCCCTATATTAAGAAGGGGGCCTGGAGACATTTAACATAAAGTGATAAAGTACCTTATCTCTATGGGCGGTGTCAACTTGTTAAAACTGTGGGCCACTTTATTGAAACTATGATTGATATAAATACTTAGCGAGTAGTACAATAGCATATTTTTCTATGCAAATTAAGTTATCCATTATGTGGCTTATTCGAACTCCTCTTCTTCTTAAAGTGAAAATATCGATGTATTAAAATAATAATTAGAAAAGAAAAATGCTAAGAAGACTTTTTTAAAGTAGGACTCTTTATTAATTCTTCGTTATCTCATATTTTTAGTACAATATTTTATAACGTGGTCACGTGAAAAATGATAAGGAGTGAGACTCTCCATAAATTTTCTGACACCTCATGTTTTTAACACAATTCTAGTATCAAAATTATAAAATGATGTGCTAAACATATGATATGACAAATAATCCATTAAAAATATAATATCAGCTTGTTGAAACTATGGGCGGCGTCTTGAAGTCTCACGACTCACTGTGTAAATGTCATTAACAGCAAGACTTCCACGGCGTACACAGTTGAGTCGAGTAGCGTGTGATTTCTGGAAATGGGCCCAACTTAAATGGTAACACACACACACACACACAATCCCTATTAAGTCTCTATCAAGTGAAGGGTAGGCCTACCTTCTGTGAATTGAAAATTGTAACGAGTCTAGTGATATATGGCCAATGATTTGGAATTTTGTTGGTATAAATTTGGTATATAGAATTTAGAAATTAAGCAATTAATGTCAAATGCATGTATTGGAACGACGTCTAATATGGTGTTTAAGAGACGGAACTGAAGAGGGAAGAAACATAAATTGCATGGCCCAATCGGCACGTTACTCTCAAAATTATGTTGCAGTGACTAGGATTTGCAAGCATAAGAGCCGTTAAAATATGGTCTCAGTGAGATCTTCCAATCTATAAGAACTTTTAAATATTTTTGCAAATCGTAATTAAAGACGCTTTTAGTATTTCTAAAAATAGTTTAAAAAATACTAATAAAATATGAGGCCCAATTTCACAATACATTGGCCCCAAAAAAAATCTGAACAAGGCCCAGAGCCCATATAAACCAGCCAACAACATTTCATAGATTTTCCAATATATATCCAAAACCCTAGCCTCCTGTATCTCTTACCCTCTCCTCGCCTCACACACACATTCACCAGCCGCCGTCTCCTCCCAACCCCACCGTGCAAATCCGCCAGCATGGGCCGCGTTCGCACAAAGACGGTGAAGAAGTCATCTCGCCAGGTTATCGAGCGATACTACTCGCGCATGACCCTGGACTTCCACACCAACAAGAAGATCCTGGAAGAAGTCGCCATCATCCCCTCCAAGCGCCTCCGCAACAAGATCGCCGGATTCTCTACCCACCTCATGAAGCGGATCCAGAAGGGCCCGGTTCGCGGTATCTCCCTAAAGCTGCAGGAGGAGGAGCGCGAGCGCCGCATGGACTTCGTCCCCGAAGAGTCCGCTATCAAGACCGACGAGATCTCCGTGGACAAGGAAACTCTCGACATGCTCTCCTCTCTCGGCATGGCTGACATGCCTGGGGTCAAGCGGGTCGACCCGGAAGCTCAGACTCAGAACCTCGGCGGGTTCGGGCGTGGTGGTCCCAGGAGGTACTAATCAGGGTTTAGAGAATGATGGGTTTTGCTTAAAATCCCAAGTTATCGTTCCCTTAATTTTCTGGAAGATTTTTAATGTTATAGTACATTTGAAGTAGGAAGGAAACTATTGCCAATTTTCTATGCTTTTCGGGTTTTCTATGGAACGAATGCGGATGCAATGTTTTCTTATGTGATTTTGTTCAAGTTTGGATTTAGAATCGAAAGCGATGCGCATTGTTTCTTTTGGTTAATTAAACGTTTTGGTGAAGATTGTTGGTAGGAACTGATAGTATTGCAGTAGTATTCTTGCTGCTTGCAATGTTTGTGTTCTCTTGAGTCACTATCAGTTTTGGTTAGGTTTTGAATTATAGTTTGGTTTGTGAATTCCGGAGCCATTTTAGTTGTTGGGGATGATTTGTTTGATCTGTGAAACAGTGCTATGGCGTTGCATCTGGTCTGTTAGAATTCGGAACCTGTGTGATGCCAATTTGGATGTTTATTGTTCGGGTTTCGTGCAACATTCGGAATGCAAGTTGCTAGGATTTCATTTGACTAGCATCCCTTAAAATGCCTTCTCTTCTGATTAGCATGTAGACTCTAGTGATTTGTGCGGTTTAATTCACAAGATGATTAGTTCCGCTCACTCGCTCACTTGCACTCATCACTCATGTCTCTGCTTCCGATAGCATCACCTTGATTTGCCCTTCCTTAGCGTAAAATGTGGAAATGAGTTGGTATACTGTTGTGCACATAGGCAGGGCTTGTTGTTAGGATGATGCCCTTGGTTGCTGGACGATGCTTCTTTTTGCTTTCCTAGTTGCAACCCACCGGCTGATTCCATTTGCACCACCTGTAGTCAAGGCTACCTTGCTACCTTGCCTTGTAACCTAGGGCTGATGTTTTGTATCCTAGCCCGACCATGTTGAGCATATGACGATGGTCTTCCTTAAATCTCTCCAATAACATACCTTTCTGATCGTCACGTTTTCTTTCTTGTTCAGCCACTTTAGTAACAACTCCTTGGCAGCATTTTGTCACTTCTGGGTATATCCGTTTGGTCTTGGATAGGGACTCGGATTATCTCTCTTCCTCTGCCCATCTTTTATTCTTTGCCTTTCAAAAAATTTCCTATGGTGAAGATCAAGGCCGTGTAAGAGCCAAAACCACGCAGTCTATTACTCAAATAAAAAACAAGAACTCTGATACTTATTTAAAGCCAAAACGATGTCTATTACCCAAAGTAAAAATAAAATTTGCAGCGTCTTCTTCTACAGAACGACGGGGATTTGTAAGAGGTGGAAGGCGGGCCAGGTGACGAGGACAAGAAGCGATCCATGGTGTCGATCATGGTCGCGATGGCGCAAGGGTCGAAATTGAAGTTCTCTGTTTTGTTCCCAAATAGATTCGCACTGCGTAAATCAAGGTTTTGCTTTTATGTTTTGCAGTTGATGGAGAAGGAGGTAAGGGAGTAGAGCTCGGGCCATGGGCAAAGCAGAAAGAGGAGATGAAAGATTCACATTACACTGCCAGTATACGTGCAAAACAACGAGACAAAAAAATCATGAACCCAAAAATCTCAACTGATGTCATACAATGTGATGCAGTTGGAATCGAATCGATGTTTTCGAATCTGTCGAATCGATCGAGGAACTTAACCTAGTTGGTCTTCCTACCAACAATTAGAACAAACGAAGCCAGCGCAGAGGATAATACAACGCAAATGAAAGAATTTTAGTGAAGCAAAGCTGCTAGCTTAGCTGCTAATGCAACTGGTTGGGCTAACCATTAGAAAACGTTGCAAATGTGGGTTCGGTCATGACAGCAGGCCCTCCTCTACATTCAAGTTTTAATCCTGATCGTCGTATGTCAAGTTTCAATACACATGACAATTTTGCAAGGATGTATCATATTTGATATGCTGATCACAATTTCTTTCTCCGGTGGAGATGCAATTCCATCATCTCTTTCCATAAAAGATGCATTCCTTTACCTTGCTTTTTTGTTCTCACCAAAATAAAATCATCTCTCTTTTTGGTAACGATACGTTCCATTATTTGGAGCTTCCGGGGAAAATAATGGCTGACGCTCTCTAACATAGATAGATTTTATATAATTATAAAAAAAAAAAAATTAATAAAATGTATTAGTTTTATGTGTCCGAATAAAATCATTGTTAGATGAAACACTAATAGGCATAAACTATGCATTTTAATTGTTGATCGGGACGTGGACGGAATCTCCATAGCACGACCATGTGGTAAGTGCTGCTGGTGCAGGCAAAGAAGCTGTCCTATACTAGTTGCCTTGCCTTTACTGCTTTGTCAAGTTGCTATTGTGAAAATTAACAATGGAAAAAGAAGGAAGCTGTTATTGGTACTCTCAAAATTTCAATCTGTATTTCTCTTAAGTTTTTAATTTATCTTTTCTTAGTTTCTCAATTTGATTTTCGATTTTAGCCCTGTATTGCTTTTGATGTCCTAGAATCTTGAAAACCTAATTAAAGATAATTTTTTTTTTTTTTTTTGTCAAACGATAGATTTTGTTAGAATAGATGTTAGATTAGCCATCGATGAGATTTGAATTCATGCTGTCATGTAAGGGCTCAACTTCTTTCCACCAATGTGGTAAAGACAAACAAATATTTTGGTTAATAAAGATTTTTTTTGTTGTATGAGTTATTAATGAATTTGATTGGCATGTATCGGTTAGTAGACGGTAGAGACTTCTTTTTTACATATTTGCTTTTAAGTCCAGTAGGCTAAAAGTCTAATAGACTTTTGAAACTTCATTAGTATGCTTTTTGGGTAAATCATGGGCGAACACACGTATATGGACATGATGTGGCTGAAGAATAATGATCGCATGTGAATGTGAGATGTTTAGGGTTCTCGACAAATTTTAAAGACGTTAGGCACTGATTATTTCTTTATTTAAGTTTTAGTTTAGTCTTTAAGTGAAGTGGCAGTGATATTCACCAATTTTTTTTTTACTATTACGTTAAATGAGTTTAAATTTTGAAATATATGTAGTGGAGAAACGTAAATTTTAAAATTTAAACTCATTCAATCGTGATAGTTTTCCTTACAAGTTTTATCACATAACATATCTTTACAAGTTTTAGAATTACAACATAAATCATCTCTAGCCCCAAGTGTTAAGAAACTTCGTTGCCAAACTTCCTATATTTATCAACAAAAAGAAAAACAAGGAGAAGAAGTTGCATGTCACAATCCAGTCCACTCCGCATAATAAAGGTGACACAACACCTATAACAGTGGTCTCTGCATTTAGAATAAAATATTGTTGTATAGATAGACTTGAGCGATATAGACTAAGTAGGGCGCTCGATTAGTCATATAATTATTAAGGGTTCTACAATAGATAATTCACTATGGTCCCTTGGCACGAGAAATTTTTAATTATGACGGGAATATAAATGGTACATCACGTATTTTAATAGAAGTGGTGAGAAATTTTATTTTTAAGTTGTTAACATCTTAACATATATATCTCATTATTTATATAATGACACATAATATACTATTCCATGTACCGGTCACATTGAAAAATCTTTCCTTAGCACATGCACTTGCAATTTGGCAAAGCAGATTCTACAGTGAATGCACAATGTAGTACGAGATCGAAGGACCCTTCTCATGGTGATTTTGATTTTGATTAAACAACAACAATAATGATCGCATGTGAATGTGAGATGCTCAGGCTACTCGAAAAGTTTCAAGGACGTTAGGCACTAATTATTTCTTTATTTAAGTTTTAGTTTAATCTTTAAGAGAAGTGACGGTGATATTCATCACTTTATTTTGTCACTGTTACGTTAAATGAGTTTAAATTTTGAAATATGTTTAGTGGAGAAATGCAAATCTTAAAATTTAAATTCATTCAATCGTAATAGCGTTTCCTTACAAGTTTTATCACATAACGTATCCTTACAAGTTTTAGAATTACAACATAAATCATCTCTAGCCCCAAGTATTAAGAAACTTCGCCGCCAAACTTCCCAGGTTTATCAACAACAAGAAAAACAACGAGAAGAGGTTGCATGTCACAATCCAGTCCAGTTCGCATAATAAAGGTGACACAACACCTATAACAGTGGTCTCTGCATTTAGAATAAAATATTGTTGTATAGATAGACTTGAGCGATATAGATTGACTAGGGCGCTCGATTAGTTATATAAATATTAAGGGTTGTACAATAGATAATTAACTATGGTCCCTTTGACAATGATTCATTCATTAATCCAACTACCCATTTGAACATTGAATTCACTATGGTCCCTCACCAACATTTAGTTTTAGAACATTGAATTCCCATTTTCTTTAATCCAAAACTTGGAAATGTGATTTTTTTTTTTTTTTATCAGTTAAAATATCTTTCATTACATTAAAAATTAATACAAGGCCAAAAAAAGAAAAAAAGAAAAAAAGACAAGCTAAACAACAGTAGAGATAGTAAAAGCCCAAACAAAATTAGAGCCGCAACTCAAGATACAACGGGATGCTCACACAAACTCAAGGTCGAAGGCTGCAAAAAATAAACAATAAAAAATCATAATCTCCAGCAGCAAAGACCACACCGTCGCCGCCATCACATCATTGAAGAAAACCAAACTTCGAACCGAGAAAGTAGACACTTAGAATTGTTTTTGAGTTACAAAATTTGGGGAGGTCAAGTGCTTCTCCAAGCAGCATACGTGCTTGAATGGAAACAGACTTCGTTTTCAATGGAAGTTTTAACGTGCTTCTATTGGAAACATTTCGGGCAAAATAAAATAAAATAATAGAGAGACGTTTGTGAGTACTTACAGGGCCAAGGGTAAGTTCTACTTATTTAAGCAAACATATCATCACAGAACCAACAGTACCAATGTGTTGTGCGCACATAACTTTTTGGGGGCGTTTGTTTGCCCTCACTAGGTTGGACTGGACTGGACTGGACTACCTGTTAGTCCAATACTGTGTTTGTTCCATGCTGGGACTAACATTAATGAGACTAAAGGGGACTAGCATGGACAAAACCCTTCACTAAGAGGTCTTAGCGAGACCCCCCAATAACCATGGGACTAGCTAAGACTATCCTCTCTTTCTCATCCTCGTCATGCTTAACGACCACTCCCAACAAACTCCTCGTCATCTCCGGTCACTTAGATCAATCATTAACTTTCCGA